AAGAGGGGGTGGGAAGAGGGTGAGTAGGAGGAGGAGGAGGAGGAGGAGAAAGAGAAATAGGAGGAGGAGGAGGAGGAGGAGGAGGAGGAGGAGGAGGAGGAGGAGGAGGAGGAGGAGAGGTCCTTTTCGGCTTCATTCGGGCAAGTCAACAACAATAGTCTGATGGATCAAGGCAGTGTTGAACCAGGGCAGCGTGGCTGACTCGTGATGCGCTAGCACTCAAATACATGGAAAAACCTGAAACCAGCTGAAACCACCTGACACCAGTCTGAAACCAGTCTGACACCAGCTGAAACCATCTGAAACCAGTCTGAAACCAGCTGAAACCAGTCTGAAACCAGTCTGAAACCAACCTGAAACCAACCTGAAACCAGTCTGAAACCAGTCTGAAACCAGTCTGAAACCAACCTGAAACCACTCAGGACACCAGTCTGAAACCAGTCTGAGTCGCGTTGTTGCAATATGAATAGTGCTGCGCCAACGAAGCGGTGACCACAGGCCCTGGGCCAAGTTAGTTGTCGTGGCTCGGCGCGCTCAGTCGGGGTACGATCGACCCATTGTGTGTCGGGGTGCGCAGCCCGCCACGATGCGCTAGACCAGATCCTCGGCGGTTGTGGGGTGCCCCAACGCGCAACTGCGCCTCCCTATGTCGCGCGTGCCTTCCGATGCGTCTGTCTCTGCGCAAATCCTCCGTCGGCGCGGGCGCCCCTGCCAGACTGCGCAACTGGCCCCGTTGTTTGCCTTCAGGCCGACTCCTCGTTTATATTAATATTGGTCTACTTCTTCAATGGCCCGACCCCCCCCCCCCCCCATCCCCACGACATCCGTGAAGGCCGCGACTTCGCTGAACCTCGCTTGGCGTCGTTGCTGAACTTCATTGACCTGGCCATTGGCCAACGGCACGCTAACGACGTGTAACCCACTGGCACAACGAAATCATTCCCGCGCTTCCCGCGCACCCAATCGCAATGACAATATCGCCGATACTTACTGCGTTGTGGCCGCCGCGTGAATGACGCAAACTCGAAACGCGACCCCCCCCCCATTCACCCCCTGTCCTCCCGTGGAACATCTGGACATCCGCGACGGACCGCCTCGGCGGCGCTGTGTATGGACTACATTGGCATTGACAACTTCACGCGAGCCGCGTGAAACACCATGATCGCTCGCCCCTGGTCACCATGCTCACGCGTATCTGATGCGGGGGGGGGGCATCGGCCACCTGCTGATTGCTGATTACCCTCTTCCAACTCCTGCCCCCGCCGCGCGAGCCCCGTGTGCGCTGACAGCGGCGCCTGGTGGTGGTGGCGGTGGTGGTGGTCGCGGCTGTGGTTGTGCTGGTGGTGGTAGCGCGTGCAATTTCTTTTTTGGGGAGGGGGGTGCTCTTGGCGAGCGACCTCCCTGCCCCTCACCTCGTCGCAACGCCATGCTTTCCGCTTCATCAAGGCCCGCGCCCGCGAACGAACTGGCGCTGAGCCTTGACGCAAAGTCGGGTCCTTGAACCCTCCGCACCCGCGCGCACTCGCGAATTCAAGGCCGCGCGCATCGGAACCGTGTCGGGCATGTCTGTGCCGTTCGCGTTTGTCGCCGTGCCGATCACACCGCAATTGGTACCGCCCCCTTGCTTGCCCTGCCCCGTCGAGGCCTGTGTTGTTCGGTCCGCCATGCCGCTGCGTTCCGCCTGCATGGCCGCAGCGGCCATTCGCCGAACTTCAGGCGATGATCGCAACTTCCCGATCCAAGCCTGCAAGCGGTGGCTGGGTGCGTGTCTGCGGCGCGGCTGGCGCAGCAACCTCGCCGCGCTAGCATCGACGCCGCGCGATCTGCCCCAGCCCCAGCCCCCCGTCCCCCCGCCCCGTGACTCCAGCCGAATGGTTCCGTGGGCGAGCCCATAGTGTGCGCCCTAATGATCGAGCTTGGTCCGACACTCGCACGATTCGAACACGCGCCCAATGACGGGGCAATGTTTGGAGGGGGGGGATGCTAGTCCGTGCTCCGCAGGGAGCAGTAACCAAATGCCTCGGGCTCTAATCAGCCTAAGCTTGTTCGGGCCTGCCCCCCCCCCCCCCCCTTCCCCCCCCCCCCCCACCCCCTCCCGCAGCGCCGAAGTTTGCACGCTCGCATGCGCGCGATTGCTCAGAACCAATCGGGAATGGGGGGGGGGGGTCGCCGAGGGGTGATGTGTGCGCTTTGGGTTTCCTTGGGTCCGCTCGCGGGATGGAGTCAGTCTTCGCCCCACACACACACACGCACGCACGCACACACACACACACACACACACACACACACGCGCACGCACAAACGCACACACCACCTCACCACCGCAACCCCGCCCGCCACCACCACCACCTGCGGGCAACGCGCCCTCCGACCGAGCTGGGTCTGGGTCGCACGTTACACGGGGCCTCGGCGGCGCTGGATTGAACGCGGGGCACGTGCTATCCATCAGGAGATCCCGAGACATATTGGAGACCATTTGCATTGCTTGCGTTGAATTGTGCAGCGTGGCAAAAAAGGAGGATCGGGGAGGAGGAACCTATATGCGATGATGATGTCAATGGGCGGACTATCGGGCGGGGACAGGATATGCTGGGATTAGAACAGTGGCAAAACGGTGGCCGAGTAGGAAACAACATATTTGTTGTCCGCTGGGGCGTCTGGGAAGTGCGGTTAGTGCGTGTAGGGTTTGCGCGCGAGTGGCACCATGTTGTTTCCTCAATCCCACCCGCCGCATTGGCCTGCAGCCTGTTTGCCCCCCCCTGCTTTCTGAGAGTAGCATTCTTGAAGCTCTTGAAGCTTCCGAGCGTGCCAACGCACTCACTCACACGCACCCCCCCGCCCCCCCCCCCCGTTGTGCCTGGAAGGGGCGCCGTGCTGTCTACGTGACCTTCTGTCGCCAAGGGATCTAGGCGGCAGAGGTGCAGCCCACGCGTCGCTCACTTTTGGCTCGAATATTTTGCAAGAGGAACTGTTCGTCTTGTCTTGCGTCAGCGACCTTTGCCAGCGTC